GGACCCCCCCACCCTGTCCACCCCATCATGGCCTTCCATCACTCCACTTCCTGTCTATCTCTGGTGGCGGGGAAGTTGGCCTCTGCAACCATTCTATTTCCAAACTACTGTTTATGCCATGAGCTTTTAGCCGCAAGTATTTCAGGGCTTTGATTTTGATACATAACATCAAGATTTGGGAACTGAAAATACTTTTATGCCAGGTCTTTGGAATCTAAAGCTTTGGTCATGAGTTGTCTTGATTCTTACAAGGCCCCCGCCTCATGGTCCTGTTTTAACGGGGTGTGTGTGTGTGTGTGTGTGTGTGTGTGTGTGTAGGGAGTATGACTAAGAGTCATCAAATAAACAAGAATTACCAAAAAAAAAATTTTCAGACACAGAACTAACAAGTATCAAAGACAAAAATCACACTGATTAATATACCAGCATATTATTCTATCACACATAGAAGAAACTTTGGGAAGCCTGCCCAGCTGTTAGCAGCATTTACCTCCAGGAATGGAGGGGGATTGATAGCCAGGAGAAAGCAGACTTTCTATTTTTACTCTGAAAACCTCTTTTGGTTTCTTTGAATTATTTATAGACATGTTTTAATCATAGCTTTTGTGATTAAAACTAATTATTAAAAAAACAACAGTTTTCCAAGCAGGCTGTGGTGTTTGGACTCGGGGTCTGGCGTTGGCTGTATGGGTCTTGTTTCTACCCCTTTGACCTCCTCTGCTCGCTGCACTTACTTCAAATTTAGGCTGCCCTTCACACGACTGACTTTTGAAATGATCTGTTTGTGTGTTCGTCTTCCTCTTTCTACTGCAGACTTTTCGAGGATAGAAATTGTGTCTCATTCATTATTGTGTCTCCAGATCCTGCCACGGTGCCTGGCTCCACACGGTGTTTATTTGAATTCTATTCCTGCACCCAAGTCAAAGACTTGCTGCCCCGCTGTACTATAGATACGTGCAGATACAAGCAAATACTGACGTCGACTCAGCTTTCTCTGCTAATTGACAGTTCCTTTTTCTACATCTTCCATATCTCATTTCTCACATCAATTGTTTCAACCTTCTTCATGGTCTAAATGGGCACTTCCAGTCTCCTAAATTTACCAGGAAGATTCAGACCCTCCCCTCTTTCCTCAAGCCCTGAGTACAGTCCCCCTGTTGAGACTAATCCCCTACCTTGACTTTTGAAAGCATCTCCCTCTATTCCCCCTTGAACCGAACTTCAATGAGTTCACTAGCTGCCCCCACTTTCTGTTAACTCAGAGTTGTGGGTGTACCCGGGGAAACTGCAGCAGGGTGACACGTTTATTTGTTCCATCATTACTGAGCGCCTACTGTATGCCAAGTGCTCTGCTAGAGCCACTGGAACACAGGAGGTGAAGGAGAAGTACCAGCAAGCTATGCAGAGATGCTTCCTGCCCGACTGTGGCTTTCAGTCAAGGGCGCAGTCAGCCAATGGCAACCTAGCAAGGAGGGAGCTGGAGAATTAATATCCCGACCTCGTTCTCCTCATCCTGCTGTGCCCCTTCCAAGCCAACTAGAAGTCAGCAGAGGAGGAAGCCAACTGATGTGTCTATACATGAGGCTCCTTGAGCAGAGCAGGAAGGAGAAGGGTAGAGTGGATCTGGATGGCCAAATGAAAGGTATCCTGCAAGTCCTCAAGGAGCTCAGTATCTAACAGAAAGAAGAACAGGCACTTATACCATATGGGGTCTGATGGTGTAGCTGGGAGGCGTACACTGGAGTTACAGCTCTAGGCTACTGTTAGGCACTGCTCTGAGTGTTTTACTGCATGAACTAAAAAATGTACAAGGTATTGGGAGGAAAACTAGTCCGGAAGGATCAGATGAGCTTTTTGTAGAAAGTGGAGATGACCCTTAGTGTATGAGTGTGAGATGGTCAGGCTGAGGTGGATTTAGGGAGAAGGTATGAGCAGAGAAATAGAGGGCTGAGTAGCATTGAGTGTAATTGGAACCTCATGACATTTACTGTTGTTGGAGTTTAGGGAAGAGGGCATTGAGGCGAGGTGATGCCCTTCTCAGTGGGGCAGGGGCTGTATAATGGAGGGCCCATGTAGGCTTTATCCAAAGGATGATGAGCAGAAAATGAGCAGGTTTTTTTTTAACTGAGATATAATAGACATATAACATCATGTTAGTTTCAAGTATACAATGTAATGATTTGATGTTTGTATATTTTGCAAAATGCTCCCCAGAATGTCTCGTTAACTTTGGTCACCATATATAGTTACAAAAACTTATTTTCTTGTGAGGATAACTTTTAAGATCTACTCTCTTGGCAAGTTTCAAATATATAATACAGTATTATTAACTGTAGTCACCATGCTGTACCTTATACCCCCATGACTTATTTACTTTATAACTGAAAGTTTGTACCTTTTGACAACCTTCATGCATTTCACCCACACCCATTTCCTGCCTCTGGTAACCACCAATCTATTCTCTGAATTGAGAGCTTTTTTTTTGATTCCACATATAAGAAAGATCATATGATATTTGTCTTTCTCTGACTTACTTCACCTAGCATCATACCCTCAAGGTTCATCCTTGTTGTAGCAAATGGCAAGATTTCCTTCTTGCTTATGGCGGAATAATATTCCATTGTACGTTTATACTGCATCTTCTTTATTCATTCATCCATCAATGGACACTTAGGTTGTTTCCATCGTGTCCACGGATGATGGGCAGCAAATCAAAATTTTCAACGGGAGAGTGAAATGCTGAGCTTTGTAATCAGGTGAGTCTGAGAATGTGGGAAGGATGGATTTGAGGGAGGCAGGACCAGAGAAGGGGAGACTGATGGTAGGAGACCACAGTGATAGTGGAGGAGAGAGACGAGGTAGCAGGAATTCAGGCTGGAGAAGGGGTGATGAATTTAAGAAATGCTTAGAAGCCAAAAGTGGTAAATCTTAGGGATTAGAACTCAGGGCTGGAGGAGGAGTTACCAGAGATGACTCACGGGATTCCAGCTTCAGTGTTAGTTAATGGTCCAGCTGAAAGTCTTAGACTAATGGGGGAAGAATAAAAGAGTTCAGTTGAATCTGTGGGACATTCAGGTGAAATTGCTTAATAAGTAGTTGAAGAAATAAACCTAAACTTCAGGGAGAGGTCTGGACACAAGGAATAGACTTAGGCATCCTGAGCATGTAGGCAAGACTTGGCTGAAACAATGGAAGTGTTATCAAACCAAACTAGGGTCTGCTCGCCCACCGGCAGTATTGCCAGTCTACTGACACCGGGTTGTGGTGAAGGAACGTGCAGTGTTTAGTGCAGGGCGCTAAACAAAGAGTCCCAGACGACTAGTGCTAAAAAAGCCTGAACTCCCTGAGAGGTTTCAGCAAAGCATTTTTAAAGGCCAGGTGTGGAAGAAGGTCCCAGGGTTTGTGATCAGCTCTGGCACAGGGTAATATTATCAGTTGGTCTGGGGGCTCCATGCTCATGGTAATCAGGTAGTTAATTTCCTCCATTTGGTGGGGGTTTAGCATCTATAAAACAACTCAGGAAATGTGCATTCGATGCTATTATCTAGGTATCTCAGAGAGGAGCTAAAGCAGAGGATATAGGGGAGGGGGTCTGTCCTGGAAAAGTTCCACAGGGTCCTGCTCAGTTACAGAAGTAGGTGGAATTACTCAGTGCAAGGTTGACAGTGAGAAAAGGACAGGGGACTTCTCTTGAGGAAGAATGTGGTTGGACAGTAGATGGGGAAGAGTATGAGGGAGAGATGTAGGATCCAGAAGGACTTTTTATTTCAAGGAGTAAAAGTTTCAAGTTGCTCAATATTTGGACACTTTTAACTCTCCTCTCTCTTCTTGAAACTCCCTGCTTTCTTGGCTTCTGTGAAATTGTTTCTCACTAGTCTTTTTTTTCCCCCCTCTTTTCACTCTTCGTGATTCTTCCACTAATGTACTCCCACCTTGTCCCCTAAACAAGTGCCACTGAAAGTACTTGTATACCCACGATATATAAGTAGTAGTTCTCACTGGCGTGTTCTAGATTGAATCTAAACACTCATGATCGCCGCAGGGATGGTCCCAGAGCCTCCCTGGGTGTGAGATCACTTCCTACACCAAGCCTGTATCACTTGAGGAGGAAGTTTGACCTGTGCCAATACTGCTTTCAGCCACTATCCTCCACATGAGGTCACCTGCACGCTCCACCTCCTTATCTTTGCAGTGAACACCTTTACATGTGCCAACAGGTGGGTGTACCACAGAGTCAGCAATAATGATATTTATAAAGAACAGATCAGGTTGGAGGTAGGACCATAGTCAACTTCTTCTACCCCTGCTAACCTCACAAACGTTCCATACACTCATACATCAAAAATTTTAAAGATTAAGGAGCAAATAAGACAGAGAGGGTTAAATAAGACAGGAGGGTACAACATTTAGGCAAAATGCTTTTGCTGCCCTGCATGCTGGTGGCATTTCATGTGTCCCTCATGATTCTGAGCTGAGAATCCTGGCTTTGTCCCTCTCTCCCAGTCTTGATTTGAGAAGTTTCATACCATTTAGGTGCTTTCTGGGAGTTGTCAAAAAAAAAGGTCCATCATCATTCACAGGTGGGAATTATTTAAGGGTAATCAACTCTAGAACACAAGATATTGAGTCAGAGGGAAAGCTTTGAGAGTCACTGGTTTGCAGGTCAAATGCCTCTCTGGAAGCAAAAGTTGGGCTTATCACTGAGTTTATTGTTAATTGGTGGAATATTACACCCCCCACAGTGGACTAGCGATTCCAAGAGAGATCCTCCTCCTTCAAGAATTCATTACAGTCAGTGGCCTCTTCCGCCTTCTGTTAATTTAATCTCCAGCCCACTATGCAGCATGTTAGTACCACGCTAGTAGAAAGTGGGTGTCATCCATGCTTACGTAACTTCTGGTTGAGTGCCTTCCGCTCCAGCCGTGGTTCTTTGTGAGTCATAATTATGTCTGTGTTAAAACACTGCTGCAAGCTGTGTGTGTGCCTGTGTGGGTGTTTTATGTATGGGTGTAGTCTACAGCCTGGGTGAACAAACCTGTTGGTGAAGGGATTTGCATTTACCTGGGAGAAAGATCTCAGCACTTAAGAGAGATCAGATTAATTTCAGCTGGTTATTTACACGTGAAATAAGGTACTCAAGCAAAAGCAAGGGTAACCAATCAGACGGCTCACGCTTTCCTCCTTCAGCTACTTTCCGGGGATGGGACTGGAGAGAGAATCAAAGAAAACTCTTAACTTCTCCCAAGTGGGGCAGGCTGCGGTTAGTCCTCCTGCCCACCCAGTAAACCCAACGGGTTCCTCTGGCTCTAGCGGAAGATGAAATTTTTGTTTGTTCGTTTTTTGAGTAAAGGAGAGCCAGCGGAGTGTAATGGATAAAAGGATGGACTTTGGATCCAGACTGCCTCACCAGCTGTGTGCCTACGGGTAAAGTTTCTTTATCTGTAAAATGGGATGATGATAATAGTGTATCTCATAGGCTTACAGTAAAGAGTCAATGATTTGATACAGGAAAAGAGCTTAGGACCTACTACACCGTGGTACTCAAATAGCTGTCTTTTTTTTTTTCTGGAAGTTTCGGCAAGAGTCCTAAAGCTGGAGCTGGCTCATTTCCTTGAATCGCACGAAGGAATAAGGTCTAGAAACTTGCCGGCTGGGCCTTGAGAAGCTGTCTTGTGTGGATACACTCTTGGTTCCCCGTCTTCTTTTTTTTTTTTTGGTGGGGGAAGGTAATTAAGTTTGTTTGTTTGTTTATTTATTTATTTATTTATTTTTAATGGAGGTACTGGGGATTGAACCCAGGACCTCATACATGCTAAGCATGCGCTCTACCACTTGAACTATACCCTCCCTCTTGAGTCTCCTTCTTCTAAACCCCTCGTCTCTACGGTGGTCTCTCCAAGGCCGAGATGACGCCGTGGCTCTGCCTTGTCCTCGACACCCGGGTAAGGACAAGTCTTCCTCCCCCTGGAGCTGAATTTCCATGCAGGCTGCGGTGTGTGTGTGTCTTTTGTTCACCTCTGTTCCTTCCACCCCCAGCCCCGCAGGCACCAGTGCCTCCTTGCCAGGGCTGATTCTTTTCATCTCGTTCAAGTTCGGGCAGCTGTGTCAAACCCCCAGTTTGCTCTGACGGAGTGTGGGCGACTTCGTGACTGCCTTCCCACCTCATCTGGACCGGTTTGTTTCCCCGTCGTGCTGTAATTGGCGGGCTCAGTGTTTCCGGTTTTTCTGCGCGCTCTGGGCGTGGTGGGGGGCTCCGCCGAGGCTGGTGTATTCTTAGAAACCTTGAGCTTTGTGTGTCTCGCCAGAGTTCATTCGACCTGGTGTTCTGCATTTCCATGGGCTTTGGCTCACTTCTCCAATTTGGAATTTTCCCATCCGTGTTATTCCAAGTGGCTGTTTCACCCAATTTCCCCTCAGCAGCCATCTCCATTCCCTGCAGTCAGAAAACAGAAAAGATAAGGATAAACCCACAGATTGGCTCTCTGCGGATTTGGAGTACTGATGAGAATGCTTAGGATTTTATGACTTACGACACAAGGAATTGGGCTTGGCAGCCCTACCAGAATGCTGCCCTGCCTGACTCCCGGAATCGTGTCCTTCCAGGACGACTTTTTCAAGGTTTATCGTATTGGAATGTGCTCCTTTCCTCGTTTCATTGCTGCTGGTGAATGTTTTGAAAACACTTCTACTTTTTTTCTGTTATTTCCTTTGGAATTAGATAATGATACAGAGTCATTCCACCATATTAATCCAGAAGTTGTATTTTCTTTCCTTTTGATATAGAAAGACCTGCAGTAGAAGCCCTGACTTTATTAGGTTATAACATAGTTACCTTTTTTCTTCCTAGCCTGGAGTTTTCTTTACAAGGTTCCACACATAAACCAGCAATACTTCTTCTTGAGCCATCTGGTCAAATGGCACCATATAATATCTTCCAGTATCTTCCCAGTAATTGGGATAATGGTGGATTAGAGAATCAGTTGAGGGTGCCATACAAACTAATTTGCTATAACCAGCCGCAGAAATTAGGCTCCCAAGAGCAGTGATGTAGTAGAGTAATTCTCAGCATTGGCTTTGGAGCCAGACAGCTTGGGTTCCATTTCTGTCTCTACCACTTACCAACTAGCTGTGCCAACTTGGCAAGTTACTTAGTTTCCTGTGCCTCTGTTTCTTTATCTGCAAAATAGGATGATGGTAATTAATTTTACCTACCTCCTGGAGTTCCTAAGAGGCTTAGATGAGTGATTGTGTGTGATATGTTTAAAACAGTGCCTAAGTCATAACTATTTAAAATGTATTTACCTATCTTTTTTTCTTACTCTGTTGTTGTTTATTGTTTAATCTAGCTATTTCTGGCAAGTCCTGGTCTTCAATGGCCCACAGCAACAAATAGACTTTTGTTTAAGAAGAGTGTTGTAGAGCTACAACGGCTCTGCCGATAGAAGGAAGATATGGGAGTAGAAGGGGGAGAGGTGAAATAAGAGTGGAAATGATTGAAGCTACGTGGTAGGTATGTGGTCATTCACATACTATTTCCTCATTTTTGGTGAACATTCATTTTCCATAGTAAAAATTTGAAAATGAAGCAAGAGAGGGATTCTGAAGGTGGTGTGATCAATAGCAGTGTGATGGAGCCCTCACGTACTTTAGGTGGGAGGCCAGACTGCTACAGGCTGTCTGGAAAACAAATTGACAGGATGTGTCAAGAACCCTGAAAATGTGTGTTCCAGTTGCTGTCACTGCGTGAAAAACTACCCAGAAACTTAAAACATCATTTTATTGAGTTCGCAGATTCTGGGAATCAGAAATTTGAACAGTGGAGATGGTCTGTCTGATCCATGATGTGTGGGGGCTTCAGCCGGTCACACTTGAAGGCTGGGGGTGACCCAGCAGCTGGGGGCTGGAATCATCAGGTTTGATCACTCACAAGTTTGGTGCCTAGATGGGAGTGATGCACAGACTGGGACTGGCCCCTGGAGTGTCTTACTTGGCCTCCAGTGGGTTGGTTTCCTCATAGCATGGCGGCCATGGCGTAGTCAGGTGTTTCATATGGCGGCTCAGAGATCCAACTGCGAGTGCCCCAGCCATCACATTTCAGAGACCACACAGCATCAGCCCTGCTTCCTCTGTTGATTGAAGTTGTCACAAACCTGCTGAGATTCAGGGAGAGGGGGAACAGACCCCAGTTCTCCCTAGGAAAAGTGTCAAAGAATTTTGGGGTCATGTTTCAAAACTGCCTCAATGTTTGTCTTCTGACAGTGATTTCACTTCTCGGAATTTATCTTAATGACATAATTCAAAATGTGGACAAAGTTTTATGCTCATGTATATATATTCACATTTAAGATATAATACATTTAAATTTAATAAGTATATATGTATAAATTATAGTGAAATGAATTGATAAATACATTTCAGTATAATTTATAATAATGAAATATTGGAAATGAACTTAATGACTAACAATAGGAAAATGAGTAAGTGCTGGTGAACCACAGATGATATAAAGCCATTAAAATAGTGTTGGAGTTTTTTAATACATAGAAAAAATTCACATTTTAAGTAAAGTTGGTAAGTATAGGATTTGTATTATATATAACATAATTTAAAATGTTTTTACAAATCTACATTATTAAAAATTGCAGAGAGAACGATGCAAAGGAAATATATTAAACATTAACAGTAGCCATCTCCAGGCAGTGAGCTTCCAATTACTTTAAATATTTTCTTTATAGCTTTCTGTTCTTCCAAAAATTTTTTCAATTTGCGTATATAACTATCGTAATTACAAAAAATTTAATTCTGGTATATTTGATGTATTAAAAAATTGTGAACTCTTAACCATTTTGCTTGTTATATTGAGCTTGTTATATTGAGCTTGTTATATTGAAAAAAATACTTGCTGACTTGATTAAAAATTGCATTTATATTACAAAACATACATGTCCTGGACTCCAAAAGGAGAATGGACTAACTGAACAGTAGCAGGATTGGCAATGTTTTTCTGAATCCAATTTTGCCCAGTCTATACCTCTTCTCTCAGCCTGTCCCCTCCATTTTTAGGACAGGGAGACCTCCTCCTCTCTGCTCAGAGTAGTCAAGGTCTGGCAACAGAGTGTGCATTTGACGGAGCCCAGTTTCACCCTCCCTATCTGCTCAGTGGACGGAAGATAGGAACAGGAAGTTAGAGCCCAGTCCTCAGCCTCCAGCTAAGAGTTCTCCTCTGAGGTCAACTTTTGTGTCTTTATGGCTTTTTTTCTGGAAACATCCTCCTCCACTACAATTGAGCAGAAGTCCTCTCCCACCCACATCCCAGGAAGACTTCCCCTGAGCCCCAGGAAGTCCTTGCTGGGCCCACCACCAGCTCAGCTCCCCTTTCCAAGGGCTGCAAACTGTTGTCACTGATGTCCCATCATCTGTCTCTTTTTGCTCTTCCCATGTCTGGTGCACATTTACCAGTGAGGTGATGAGATTCGTTATAAATGAGCATGTGTGTCTAGTCTCATCAGAGGTCATCCCTGGAACCTGTCTGCCTGATATCCATGGCTTCTAGTACAACTCAGTAGGCTACCTCTGCTTCCATCTCAGCCGCCCCCTAAGTCAGATGGCTGTACACTTTGGTTCCAGTGGTACCCAACTTGTTCTTGACTCAGGTGCTCTCTGATGATGACCTCATCCATCTGTCTCTTCCCCAAGGCCATGGTTCCTTGGGACCCATCAATAAATGTAACAGGTTGATACACCTTAGCTGCACTATACAATGGCCAAAGATGTAGTTTGCCCATAATCTACATAACACTTTTTTCAAAAAGACCTTAAACATTTAATCAGTTAATATATTCAGTAGGCAACACTTGAAATAAACTGGTTCCAGAGCTACATATTATTGGTATTATTTTCATGATAGTTTTCTGGTCTGAATCGCTGATGATAGCACTCTAATACTAATATTCAGTTCTTCAGGATACTTCTTAAAGCAGTTTAAACAATCAAAACTATTCACATTTTGTTTTAGGCCACCTAGAATGAATAACACAGGGCTTTTTAGCATACCACAAAGTCATCTGTGCAAGTTACCAGTGCCAGCTGTCCATGTCCTTACTTTCTGGTTTGTTTGGTATTATATGAACAGAGGATTAGGGGGAGGGACAAAATGTAGTTTGAGATAGAAATGCAAATGGTTTATGATGCAAACTCTGACTAATATGGTTAAATCATTTGATCCTCTTAAAGGATTTGCCAGTGGGGAAAGAGGTAATTCTCCATTCCAACCCAATTTCTACTACTGAATTATTTATAAAATCAAAAAAACCCCCAAAGTGCCATCTTTGCCACTTGCTACTTACAAATATTCAGGTTCTTCTGGGGACATGGTAGGGCTGCACAGCAGGATTGCTACTGTGGAGTTGGCTTGGCCATGAGATTTGGTTTGGCCAATGAATTGTGGGTGGAAGTAAAAAGACGTATCACTTCCAGGTCAAGTTTTGAGATTCAGGGTGTGCTTTGCCAAATTCTGTGTCCCGGTTGGGTTGAATGGAGATTTTATTACCCTGGTTCCCAGGTAGCTATACGAGCAGAGTCTCCCCAGCCTGCATTGGACATGTGTTAGGATGAAGAAATATATTTATCAAGCCACTGAGATTTCAGGGTTGTTTGTTACTGGAACATAACTTAGTCCATCATGACTGGTAAAGTAGGTAGCTAGCTAGATGATGGATAGGT